CACAACATCCGAGTGCATGCTGCCTATGTTTTTCCTACCTTTCTTCAATTATTGAAGCGGCAGCTGTGCATTGAATTCGCCACGTTCTGCCTCATTCCTTTTGTGTTGCTATTTATTACAGCACACGAATAAAAATAGAATTCCAGAGCGGCCATCTTGGATTTCCATGCGCAGAGTTCAACAACTTTTGTATACGAAACAAAACGACCGGACCTTGGTTGAATATATTGATACAAACAGCTTGATACGATGCTTTCTCTTGCTATTGTGTAATTATATTTGGCATAGTTTGTAAAAGTAGCTAACGGGATATTGAAAAATTCCAATATCGAATAACCGTTCTCTTCATATTTTAATTTAATATTAAACTTAACGACCCAACATAAGCACTTTTAGTCGTGTTTCTGAACGATTTGAATCGAAACCAAGAAAGAACTGCATAAATTATAACATAAACTAGTCATTATTCAACATTATTCTTCTTATAGTTCGTTTAGTAAGCGATATTTCGTCATGCAACATAAATTAGAATAAAATTATTTTCTATCTTTTAACATAGGCAACCCACATATCATACTATGACTTCTACATCCATGCAACTTGCGCATATGCGAAATTATAGGTTATTTCAGCAGAAAAACTAATAAACTTTCAAAAAATACCTTCAAATACTTATAAAACATGTCAATGGAACAAAATATACGCACCGTAAGTATTTACTCTTCAAGTTTTAATTCATAACAATAACATTTTCGCTTGCAGTTCAAAGATTTCCTCGAATTTTACAATCAAATGTCACAGACTTGCTTCAGCCACTGTGTGAACACTTTCAAACGCTACGAAATCGAACAGGATGAAGTCGCTTGCGTGGAACGCTGTGCTACGAAACTGATACGTTTCAATAATCGTTCCATAGGTGTATATGCAGAGTTGCAACAGCAGTTGATGGAAAAACGTATGGCTGAAGCAGAAAAAGAAGCTCTGACTGCACAAGCCAAACTGGATGCAGAAGCGACCAAAGTTGCAACAACTGATGCAGTAGAACAACCCTCAACAACACCTGACACACAAACTGAACTTTTAAAAACCAATTCATAGTTATTGCTTGTAATAAACCAAAAAATGCAGGCTAGTGTTATCATAGTTTTAGTTGGTTTACCAGGAGCTGGAAAGAGTACATTTTCCAAGTTGTGTAAGACATATTTAACAGAATATCATGTTGAAGTGTATCATTATGATGACTTGTGTGTGACTTTTTCTACAGATGAACGAAAATCGATCTTGAATCAAGCAGAGAATTATATTTTACACAATAAAACACCTAATGTGTTAATTATTGATGATAATAATTATTATAAAAGCATGCGTTTTGCATATATGAAACTCTGTAGAAAATTACATCTAGGATTTATGATTGTATATTTTAAAATGTCTTTGGAGGATGCATTGGAGCGTAATGCACGTAGAAATGTAAAAGAAAGGATTCCCAATGACATTATCAAAGAGATGTTTGGTAAATTAGAAGTACCAACAGGTGAATATGTTGTTAACATTAATATTTCGCATGATTTTTGTGATTTTGATTTGGATTTCATTCGAAACAAAATTCTAAATGCATCTAAAACTCCTCTGTGTCAAGTTGAAGCAGTTATTTCACTTCCAATGCCGGCATCTTTGCTGCAAAAAGTTGATTTAACTCTGAGGAAAATTGTACATAGAAAAATCTTAGAAGACAAAACGCGGGCCAGGGAGTTAAATATTTTAAAGAAAGATGTGTACAAGAAAATTACAAGTGGAGAACTTGTTGTTTCGGCGGAATTTGATGAGATGGAAAGTGAACTAGCGCAATATTTTGTTTAAAATTATAAGAAATCATTGTTTTATTGTAGATTGTGTACAATAAAAGATTAAATATGTTTTAAGTGGATTTGTTTAAGATATTTTTTTAAGAAGAGTGTAAATTGACACAAGTTCTAATTACACTTACGAAAAGTACCAAATTCAAATCAATGACTTTTCCCAGACGGATTGCAGGCATAGTTTGTATTCGTAATATGATTAAAGATAAATCACCACGTAAATTAATGTCGGTGTTGATGTGCCATGGGACATCATAAGCTTCATTTACCAAATTGTA